CTTCTCCGTTTGTTCCCCAGCCACTGTGCACAGTCCTCCCTTCAGTCCCTGGCTAGCAGGGTGATTTTTAGGTTAATTCTTAGGTCCTACCACCACTCGGGAATCTCCAAGCCGTCTGTCGCTGCCAGACCGCAGCACTGTGTGTCTCCGTTTTTGGTATTTTCACTCAAATTCTTCTGCTAGTTGGGGTTTAGTCCACTTTTGTATCTTTCCCTTCAAGGCTCAGGGGTCCAATATTATCTTCTGTGTCTGTGTTAATTGGTTTCCCTTTTCTTTGCTGAAGAGGGTCTGTGCAGTCCTTCTGCCTAGTCTGCCATCTTGCCAGAACTCCCTGTTTCATTGATTTCTGCTCGAATCTTTATTATTTCCTTTCTTCTGATGACTGTAGGCTTTTCTTGCTGTTCTTTTTCTAATTGTTGGAGATGTTGGTTTAAAGTGTTGGTTTTGGCTCTTTCTTCTTTTTTGATATGCTCATTTATTGGTATAAACTGGCCTCTGATTTTTGCTGTGTTCCCAAAATTTTGGTATGTTGTGTTTTCATTGTCGTTTGATTCAAGGAATTTTTTAATTTCAATTTTTATTTCTTCTCTTACCCAATCTCTCAAGGTGGGTGTTGTTCAGTTCCCATGTGTTTACTCTTTTTCCATTGATCTTCCTATTGTTGATTTCTAATTTGATAGCATTATGATCTGAGAAGATGCTTTGTACTATTTCAATGTTTTTAAATTTATAAGGCTTGCTTTATGGCTTAACATATGGTCTATCATGGAAAATGTTTCATGTGTACTGGAACAGAATGTATATTGTGCTGCTGTTGGGTGAAGTGCTCTGTAGATGTCTATAAGGTCAAGCTGGTAGATTGTATTGTTTAGCTCTTCTGCATCTTTGTTGAGTTTCTTTCCAGTTGTTCTATCATTCATTTAAAGTGGTGTATTAAAGTCTCCCACTATGACTGTGGAGTCATCTATTTGACTTTTCAACTCTTTTAAAGTCTGGTTTATGTATTTTGGGGCTCTTTCATTGGGTCCATAGATATTTATTATGGTTATATCTTCATGTTCAATTGATCCTTTAATCATTATGTAATGTCCTTGTCTCTTATGGTGGTTTTTGCCTTAAAGTCAATTTGATCAGAAATTAATATTGCCACTTCTGCTCTCTTATATTTGCCATTTGCTTGATAAATCTTTTTCCAATCTTTGATTTTTAGTCTATTTTTATCTTTGTCTCCAAGATATGTGTCTCTTGTAAGCAGCATATTGATGGATTTTGTTTTCTTATGCAATCTGCAACTCTCTATCTCTTGAGTGGTGCATTTAATCCATTAACATTCAGTGTAATTATTGATAAGTATGAATTGGTTGCTGTCATTTTGTTATGTGTTGAAAAGTTAGCTTCCAGACTGAGATGGTGCTATAAGTGGAAAGAAATAAATAAATTCAAAGACTTAGCATGAAAAATAAGAATATAAAATATGTCATTATTAATTTTTATACTGATTATACATTAAAATGATATTTTAGATATTGGGTTAAATATGCTATTAAAATTTATTTCACCTGTTTATTTGTATTTTTTAAAATGTAGCTTTAAAAAACAAAATTATATATGTGATTCACATTATACTGGACAGCGCTCATCTAGCCCCACTATATCCAATCTTATTTTCCCTTCCTTCCTCAGCTGGGAAATTTCTGAGGGTCAGGAAGGAGAATCTGTACCTTACTCCTTGAACACCAAGGGAGGCATGGCTGCCAGGGTCACTGTGAGTTATGGATTCAGAGGTTCTCATTAGGGTCTTAGAGTAGTTTCTGGCTTTGTCTATTAATACCTCCATTTTCCCATTACCTTAAATATACTATGACCACAAAAGTAATACTAACTATAGTAATTATATTAATTAATTATATTATACAGTAATGCTTTTGTATTTCATTAAATACTGATGGATTAACTTCCTTTCAGGTTTATTCAATAATAACACTATATATTCACATATACTTATAATCAGCCAATCACATAGCATGGTCATACACTCATAACTTTAAAAATTAAAGGGACCAATTTATGAGAATCCCTCAAAGCACATATACTGCATATTTCTTTGCTAAGTTGTTTTTAATTTTTCAATAAACATACTTGTTGAATAAGTAATTTTTTTTTTTTCATTATATCAAGGAATTTACCAATAAGAAAGTATGTTTTTGCTTGGGGGGGCTTGTTATTTTTAAATGCAATACTTGATAATAATTTAAGTTCTGGAAATAGTTTACCTTGTTTTATAAAGAAATTGAAGTGGCATGTAATATAAATAACATAATAAAATTGTATTACTATACAAACAGGAAAAAAAACATCACAAATAGATTATAAACTCAGCATAGTTTCTGTAATTAACTTTCGCATTTGGTTTTGAGTTTCCTAGTAGCCAAACAGAAATGGTATGCAGAATCTGTTACATAATTCTTAGTATTTGGGGGTGCTGTGAGTTGGAATCTACTTGATGGCAGTGAGTTTGGTTTTTTTGGGGGGTGTAGGGGAGGAAGTATATCAACTACCCAAAGGAAGCACAGATTTTCCTAGCACTATATTGTAAAAGTAATTTCTCATCTGAGTCACTGTCAAAACATTTTAATAGCTATTTCAGTAATATTTTATATGAATGCCTCTTGTAATGTCATTCAGTTAGTTGTTTTTATATAGAAATGAATAAGAGTATGATAAATAATTATATGTTTTATTTTACAGGAATCTGGGGAAACCGAAATGAGGCACAATCAGATGTGTTGTGAGACACCACCTACTGTCACTGTTCATGTAAAATCAGGGTCAAATAGATCACATCAGCCTAAAAGACCCATTAATCTGAAGCGCCCTATTTTTAAAGATAGTTGTCAAGCATCTGAAAAAAATGTACATAATAACAACAAATCTAAACGCCCCAAAGAACCTTGTCTAGTTATACAGCGTCAGGAAATGACTGCTTTCTTTAAATTATTTGGTAGGTTTAAAATGTTGTAGTACTGGTAACTATAAAGTATTAATTAGAATGTAAAGATCTATTTTCATAATAATCGAAGAGGATGACATTACTTTCTTTGTCAGTTTCCTATCTTTGACCTTATCTGTTTTTGTTTCATTTATCTTTTTTTTGTAATGTTGGGGTTTTATTTGTTTGTTTGTTTCTGGATTAAAAATTAAGATTTATCTAGCTCTACTTAGATCCAGGTGTAAAATGTAAATTTTGGGTAATTCAGATTCCTAGCATGAGTTTTATTTGACCTAAAGTAAAGTACTACATAAAGTTTTAGGTAGGCCAACTGACTCAGTTTGACCAGGCCTGAGGGGTTTCCTGAGACTTTAGCAGTGTTTAATAGGGCAAACAAGAAAATTGGTCACTGAAGAGAAGTTTTAGTATTACACCTTGGAATGTTGTCTAAAAATATTAACTATCCTTTATCATTATGCGTCTATAATGAAATTGTGTTTGAATTTATTCAGATCATGAGACAATGCTACTTGTCTGATAAATTTCTTTACAAATAGCCAAAAGGAAATTTCTTTATAAGTAATCCTACTAGGCAAGAAAGAGAAGGAATTTTGTTTTTGTTGTTGTTTAGGTAGGATGGTAAAGTAGACAGTGACAGTGGTAGAATTGATTAATTAGAAAAGGGGTAGGATTACAGGTATTGGTAAATATCTGTGTGAACCAATCCAGTCAGGTAGAAAGCAGAGTCTGGTAGATCCTTATAACAGGATTCTTTGCAGAGGAAGGTCTTCCTCTAAGATGAGTGAGTGAGTTGGAGACAAAAGTCTTTGGACAGAGAGAACAGAAGTCTTAAAAAAAAAAAAAGGCAGAGAGGAACAAGCTTGTTAAAATTTAAAGAAAAGCAAGATGAGCAGATGAGATTACAAGGAAAAAAAATAAGGTATGTAAGTAGAAAAATACTGGGATATGAAGATATTCTTATCAGGATCTGAAGTGTTGTTAATACAAGTTTCCCTTTCTTTATTAAGGATAGAACAAAATTATTACCCATAAACTTTTTAAATACTTTTAAGTGATCATGAGAAATAAAATGCTTGGCTCTACTACCATTTTAGGTCACTTAAGAAATAGAATTAATGTTTCAGAAATTGATTATTCTCAGAAAATTAGTTCTAGGAACTTTCATTTCTGACTCATAGTGACCCCCATTGGATTTCCAAGGTGGTAAATCTTTACAGAAGTCAATTGCTCTGTCTTCCTTCCATAGAGTTGCTTGGTGGGTTTGAACTTCCAACCTTCTGATTAGCAGTAAAATGCCTTAGGTACTACGCCACCAGAGCGCCTTAGGAACTTTCTAGGTATAAAAGTGAATATAAAGAACTTGTGCCTTGTTATTTAACTTAAAATGATGGAAAAAAAAGCCAGTTTTCCAGGCTATATTCTAAAAACTACCAATAGATTTTAGCCCTTGAAAATTGCAATAAATGTTTACACCTGCGTTTTCTACGGTATTTTTCTTTGTTGATCTTTTTGTCCAATACCCAGTTTTCCAAAGTTAAATATTAATTATAAATTGTTAATGAACTGAACCTTTTTACATAAATATTTTCATTTATGTTCAAGTAATAGATAAATGAAACAGAGATAAATGGCAGAGAGAAGAACACAAAACTAAAAAATACCCTGGATCTTAAAAGGAGAAAGGAGTAGTAAAAGTAAAACATATTTAGAAAATAGTATTCATTAAGTCATTAATTCTCAAAAACTGAGTTAATTTCTTTTATCACATTCCATTTCCACCTGTTAAAGATTGATTTGGGAAAGGAATGAAGAGCTAGTCTAGAGTTCCAAGATGCATTTCTCAAGGTACTGTTGTTGTTATGTGCCGTCGAGTCGGACCTGACTCACAGCGACCCGTCCTTGGGTTTCCGAGGCAGTATCACTACAGAAGTAGATTGCCCCATCTTCCTTCTGAGGAGTGGCTGGTGGGTTTGAACTGCTAGCCTTCTGGTTAACAGTCCTTAGCCACTGTGCTAAACACTTCTACCACCCCTCCAGTCTGAGGTATATATTAAGGCAAATCACATGGGAAGACGAAGAATAAAGTGATAGCTTTTTGTACAGTGCTTGCAATGGTAAATACACCAGAAAACTGAAATCTACACCTTAGATAGTGCTGGTACATCCATTTGTCTTTGATCTCTAAGCATTATTTATAATCTCCTTATATAGAAGTTAACTTTTCAAAAAGAAACGTTCTGTTTTTAAAAGATAAATGATAGCTATCTTTTGTTATAGATGACGATTTAATTCAAGATTTCTTATGGATGGACTGCTGCTGTAAAATTGCAGACAAGGTAAATTTGGTAACAAGAAAATCACTATCCATCAGAACTTTCAGGAGACCGTTTAAGAATTTTCTTATTAATTAAAGTTAGGAAAAGAATTAGCCTGCATTCCTCCTTCAAACTAGAATCCTTACACATTAACTTTTTAAATTAGCATACACTGTAGATCCATTTTGTTATACTCAAGGAATTGTAGAATATTGTTGATTAGATTTAAATGGGCTTTAGTTCATATTTGTTTAATTGAAAGCAAGAATCAGTATAGACTTAGTCTATTTTCATTAGAATTACAATCTTTCATTAGGCTGTGGAGAAAAGATTCTGAGATTCACCCCACTAAATCTGTTATACAGATCAGTGGTTAGTATTTTTTTAAGTAATTTAGATAAAACATCCCAATAATCTTGTAAGGTTGAATTAGTTTAACATTATTTATTTAAATATCAGTGTTTCATAAAAGAAAATCATGTTGCCGACTTACATACTAGGAACAGTGATGTTTCTATACTCTTTAAAATTACCTGAACAGTCAAGATGACAGCTTTGTAAATGTCATTTTAGACTATGCAGAAAAATTAGAATACTCAGCCTTACTTCATATTATACAATATTGTGGCAACCTACTAAAAAGGGAATGAACAGAAGGCTAGATTATGATTAAAGTCTAATTAAGTTAGTATTGATACGTTGTTGTTGTTGTTATGTGCCGTCGAGTCAGACCTAACTCATAGCAACCCCTCCTTGGGTTTCCGAGGCAGTATCACTACGGAAGTAGATTGCCCAACCTTCCTTCCGAGGAGTGGCTGGTGGGTTTGAACCTCCAGCCTTCTTGTTAGCAGTCAAATGCCTTAGGCACTATGCTACCAGAGCTCCCAGTATTGATACAGACATTTCTATTTCAAAATTAAGCTGGCAAAGATAAAATTGGAGATTATTTTTTAATTTTGGAAAATTTCAAACATTTACAAAGTTAGAGAATATTTCCTGATGTATTTCTAAAAGATAAGGGCTCTTTTTAAATAATCACAATGTCACAAATACTTTGATAAATTAACAATAATGCCTTAAAATCATCAAATACCAGTTCATGTGGAGTTTCAAAGATTTTTTAAAACAAATATTTTGAATTGAAATGCATCATTGAAATTAAAGTTGTTGGACAGGAGGGGGCAGTATTTGAAAAATAACTAATCAAGAGTACTACCTCTTAACACTATTTCAGGAGTACTCAACTGGAAGTTACCTTGAAAACTTGGAATCATCTCTGTGGCCAAGCCTGTGAAGATGAGATGAATATACTTTTTAGATAGGGAGTTTAGTACATTAAGATTAGAAGTTGTTTTTAATTTGAATAGTCAGAACCTGACATTAAGTCCTAATATCATACTAGACATATCTTTCTAATAACACATTTAAAACACTTATTCTAACTTCTGATTAGAGATCATTTTAAAAAGTGAGTATGGATATCTGCAACTAAGAAAGTTTAGAAAAAAATATATCTATATGCATGAATACACATGTACATGTACATACATCATAGATATCAAACAAATATGGCAAAATATTAACAATTGGTGACTCTGGGTAAAGGTATGGTTATTTATTTTACTATTTCAGCTTCTCTATAGGTTTGACATTTAAAGTTAGGGAAAAAATTGAGTTTTCAGTTAAAAAATATTGGCAATAAAATGTAAGAATTCATTTAGTTTTAATTTTGATAAATAGTCAAGATTTATCATTGTTAAATTTATCATTGTTATCATTAACAAATGGCTCATTGTTCACATAGATATAGGAAGCCAAAAAATAAGTACTCAAATAAATAGGTAATTATATAATAAAGACAAATAATGTTTTATTGTTTTAACATATTTATTATTCATCAGAAATTTTGAAAGTTAACTATTTTAATGTAGTTTTACTGAATAAAACATTAATATTAATTTTTAACTTTATTCCCTATAGTATCTTTTGGCTATGACTTTTGTTTATTTCAAGAGGGCTAAATTTACTATAAATGAGCACACCAGGATAAATTTCTTTATTGCTCTGTAAGTATACTTTCTGCTAAGTGATTTTGTAGTAGTTATTAATAATATATATGATACTTTATTTAAAACATAGGCTGTTTAAAACCTTATATAATCTTTGAATAAGTCTTCCTATATAAAAGCTTTACATTTTTTTCTTTCATAGGGTGTTTTCTGTGTTCTTTTCATTAACCTTGTTATGCTGTATGTCTAAAATTTATTGCTCAATATTCCACTTGAGTTTGTCTTGTGCCTATTAATATTTTTCAGAGTGTCTCCATATAAATTTTCCCAGATTTGTCTCTTTTGGACTTGATACTGTTTTACAACTAAAGTTTTCTCTGAAATTTTCAGTTAATATATAGTAAAAATCATCTTCATTGTCCTTTTACATTGAACAGCTTGTGGAAAATGCTCTAAACAAACTTGTTGTGGGATTATGTGTACAACATAGTAATTATATCTGATACCATTAGTATTTACTATTTTACTGAACACACTGGACTATGACAAAGAAATATAGTTATTTTCCTAGTTCTTCTATTGACTTTATATTAGACAGTTCACATAGTTTTGTGGTATGTTAAATAGTTTTAATGACAATATTTTCTAATTAGGTAGAATTCTGCTAGAATCAACATAATTTAAGAATATATTTCCATTACTGCTCTATACTTGGATATAATGCTGTAGTTGGTAATGTCTGATTATAATTTTAAGTACTTTACTAGAGAACTGCATTTAAAAATAGTTAAGTTGAATACCATAATGGTTGTTAGACCTGAACAATAATTTTTTTATTAAAGTGTATTTAATTCAGAATCAGAGTTATTAAGTAGGACTAGAAGAAACTGATCTCTTCATATATTCTGAGGACACATTTCCCAGTGAATAGGTAAAAACAAACTCAATACATCCGCACTTCACTTAGTGACATAATTAGGTTCCAAAGACCAGATCCTTATACAAAAGGTGACATTATGCAAAAATGGATCACAAAATGGAGAATGGATTACATCATTACATAACTACCGAATTATACCATTACATAACTGCCAAATTTCACCATTACGTAACTGCTAAACCACTGAGAATCATGGCCTAGCCAAGTTGACACATAACCTTAACCATCACAGCCAGTGTTACTCTTGCCTCATACCTTGATGTTTATTACTGCCTGACTACATCATAAATGCCCAAAATAGTCAGAGAGTTGATTTTTTACTATTTTTATAAATGCAAAATATCAGATAATGAGATAGGAAGTGAGGAGTAGGTATAATAGGTTGTAAATGTAAATTTTCTGCTCACTAAATTGTGGAGATACAATGGTAATCCCTAATAGTTGATGTGCAAAGCAGCACAAAAATGTTTTAAATACCTTAACTCATTTAGTCTTCTCTATGAACTATAAGATTTTTTAAAACTAATCCTCATTTTACAGATGAGGAAAATGAGACTTAGGAAGATAAGTACTTTCCAAGATCTTAAAAGTTACTAAGTAGCAAAGCTAGGGCACAAATTCAGGTGTGCCAAAGTCTTAGCTATTGATCAGTAAGCAATATTGCTACTTACATGTCTGATAGTTTTGTGTTATATCTGTATGTCTATGCAATATTTTTTCATAGGTTTTTTTTTTTTTTTTTTTTTTGCTCACCTGAGAATTAAAAAGAAACTAAAAGACACTTTAGTTTAAATCTGCTGGATCCCTGATACTGGATTTATTTTATTTGTTTTGTAAAGTTGTTACTAGTAAAGCACTACGTCAGCTTATGCTGGAAAGATGCATTGCATGTTGGATTTTTATTAGCTCCCTGTTAAAAATAATATGAAAAAAATTTCTATTTTATATCTAATCATACTTTTTATATAGCCTTACTCAATAGTTCTTTTCTCATTAAATATTTTTTCATTTAGCTATAGTTCTAAAGCTCAAGTTCTTTTCCTTTCTATGTATTCTTAAACATTCCCTTCCTATATATTCTATAAGACTCTGAACTTTCCTTATTACTCTTCTTCCATATTCTGTCATACAGTTAATTGTGTCATACTTAACTTGCCTTCTTTACTTATCAATAGGCTTCTTAAGGTCAAAAAAATTTTATTCTTTTTTGTATCTTTAATGGCTAACATATAAACCAAAAAAACATAAATCCAGTGCCATTGACTCAATTCTGTCTCATAGTGACCCTATAGGAGCTTCTTAATTATTGTTGAATAAATGTAATAAACTATTATATAAATAGACTCTGCTCCCAGGAAATCTGACTAGTTCAAACTAACAGACAGCTTGCATCTACAGTACAAACATTTCATCAGATAGAGCCTGAAAAATTGTTAAACTAGAGTAGAATCATGATGTAGTTCTCATATCATAGTAGCATAGTACATTATAGATTTCCCATATTTTAGTTAGTCAGCAAGCATGTTAGAGACCAACCTCAGGCTCTGTCTACCCTTTGCTAGGAGGTATCAAGGATGCTAAAGAAATTAGCATAATTTCAGAGAGGACATGATTTGATTTGTATTATGTACCTGAATGCATTTAACAATGAGGTGCTTTATAATTAGGTTATATTATATGTATAGTTATGTTAAGAGGATAAAATAATATGTTGGTGTTCATTTTCTGTTACTGTAACAATATAAATGTACATATATTTTGATATCTATATCTATCTATCTATATATATATGGGTATGCAATTAAAAATAAGTCTTCCTGCTATCTCTGAACCTTGGTTTTCCTCCTCAAGGACAAAACTTACCAGTTTCATGTATATCTGTCCAGAAATATTTTCCTGTACATGAACTTCTGTGTTTGTGTGTGTGTGTGTGTGTGTGTGTGAGAGAGAGAGAGAGAGAGGGAGAGAGAGAGAGAGAGAGAGAATCAAAGTAAAAAGAATATTACCAGAGCCAGAGAAGTTCCCAGAAAACATTTTCCAACCAGAGATTCCTCTTTTTCAAAATATCTCTAAGCGTATATTATTTTACTTTTCCTGTTTTTTGTTTGTTTTTCAGTTTATGTAAAAGAAACATTGTATATTATTTTTCTGTAACTTCCTTATTTGCTTATGATTTTAAAATTCATTTATATTGATATTTCTGGATGTAGTTTATTTTCACTGCAGAATTGCTTATATATTTGGATTTTTCCCTACCATCTTGTCATGTATTTTCTCTTTTTCTCATTTTTTTTCCTATTTCTTCCCAGCTCCCCACCCCCAATTTTGTCTTCTTTTTGAATAAGGTTTGGAAATTATATAGTCAATGTTTATTCTTTTAAAAGTTACCCTCTTTTTTTTTTTTTTTTTTTTTTTTTTACAAGAACCTTATATACTTTAATGCTGATCACCCCTTCCCAATTTATAATCTCTTATCTGGCAATTTTATAGCTTTACCTAACAAATTAAACATTATTATTTTATACATTTAATACTTGTTTAAATTTACCCACATATTTATATCTCCAATTACCATTCCTTAACTCTGAAACCTTCCATTTAAGATTATTTTCATTCTTTTTTTTGGCTACCTTTTTTTTTTTTCTTTAAAATATGGATTATTTATTAGGTCACTTTTAGGTTTATAGAAAAATATAAAAAGTACGGAGTTCCCACACATTTCTTACCCCCTGCAAAGTGTGTCTTCTATTATTAACATCTTGCATTTGTGTAGTACCTTTTTTACAACTGATGAACCAATATTGGTACATAATTTTTGAGTCTATATATTAGGGCTCACTCTTTGTGTGGTATATACAGCACTATGGGTTTTGACAAATGCATAATGGCATGTGTCCATCATTATAGTATCATACAGCACAATTTCATTGACCTAAAAAATGCCCTGTGCTTCACCTATTCATCTCTCCTTTCATCCTCTGAACCCACGGCAACCACTGATATTTTTAATGTCTCTATAGTTTTTCTGGTTGCTTTTTTTTGGTGTTTGGCAGTTCCATTTATGTGTTATTAGAGCACTGGTTTCTTTTTATCGCCTGCTTAGGATTTGAAGGGCTTCCTAGATTTGAAAACTGGTATCTTTCAATAATTCTTGGAAAAATTTTAGCCAGTATCTAATCAAATATTTCTCTTATCCATTTTCTCTATTATTCCCTTTTGAAGTTCCAATTAAATATGTTATACCTCACTCTTTCTTCCATATCTCTTAACCTATCTTTGACATTTTCTTTATTTCTCCAGGCTGCATTTTTAATAACTTCTTTAGATCTATTTTCCCAGCTCATTAGTTAAATTTTTAGCTTATGTCTAACATGCAAATTAATTTCTATAATATCTTCATTTATAGAAGTTACATTTGCTTATTTTATATGTTTATTTTTCAAATGTATTTATCCCCTACTCATATTTTCAAGGTACTTTCTTAATTTTTTGTGCATATGAGACATAGGTATTTTTTGTATTCTGTGTCTGTGAAATTCATTATCTTTAGACTTCAGGGTCTCTTTCTACTCATGGTACCTCATTTACATACGTGATTTTATAATTTTTTTTTGTAAATTGCCCATTTTTCTTGGAAAGTCATCTATGAAGCTTTGTTGAAGCCTAGGTTAAAGCAGACTTCCTCCAGATAGGATTTGTGCTTGCATCTGCCAGTTGTCTAGGGCTAGTGCTTCCTACTTTGGATCGCATTAGACACAGTTCTTTCCTTGAAGTTTTCTGGACTATACAGGGAACCAGAATTCAGTATGGAAAACTAATGAAAGGGCCATTTTTTATATGTATTCTCAGGAGACACATTTTTTCCCTTCCAACTAGTTTTGGGTTGATTCATGTACATTTTCTTACTCTCCTCTTCTGCAAAAGAGTTTTTAATCATTCACTCTTACACTCTGCCAGCACTCATCTGTTGGTTTGTTGTACTGTGGTGGCATCCATGTTGTTGTGCCACTGGTATTTCAAAAGAGCAGAGTCACCTATGGTGGACAGGTTTCAGTGTAACTTCCAGACTAAGACATACTGCAAAGAAGGAGGGGGCCATATACTTCTGAAAAATTTG